GCAGAGGACTTGCGATGCAACGGACGTTCCAGAATCCATCAGAGACGTGCGTCACGAGAGAGACGCGCTTTGACCACCACGCAGGTCGGCCACTGGTGGAGCGGAGGGGGTCAGTGGAAAAGGAAAGGAGAGAGAATAGACGGACGAATTTGGGGAGAAGTAGGGAGACAACTTTAACTGCTGTGGTGAATGACGACAATTTGTGACCGCGTCACGCTTCGCTTCCCACAGACAATCTCGATGAGGTTTGTCTGAGACACTATAGCCAAGTGGTTACGGCGACAGATTTGAAATCTCATTATCTGTTCCTCTTTGAGGGCGTAGGTTCGAACCCTACTGGTGTCGGTGATAACTTTGGAACACTGTTTTTCACGACGGAATGACGACAAGTTGTGACCGTCAGTTAGTTCTCTTACGCAGCTTACTGCCTCAGGCTTTGACATCTTGTGTTGGAGCTTTCGAATTCGTCAACTACGACTCACCCCAATTGTAGCCCGTGATTTCTTCACATGCCAACAAAAAGTTGCAAATCAAATCCCTTCTGTGAATTGTCTCTTGTCTTGTCTTGGGAAAGTCAGTAAAAGTGAAACTCTTGCAAATCTATCCTCTACTTCTCTATTGCCCTGTCGAGATCTGAATTTCCGTACCGTCGCCATCGTGGTGTGAGCCGCTGTCTATGTTCTTCCGGGCTTCCAAACCCTTCCTCACTCAGATCTGCTTACCACTGCGACGCCTCCTTCTGGCTGAATGGTCGCTGGAAGCTAGAACCGAGAGTGCAGGAAACTTGGGAAAGCTGTTCAAATGAATAACGAGTACGACCAAAATTGACAGGAACGTGAAGACCTCAAAGTGCCTCTTCGATTCTGGCTCAAGGAATCTTCCGTATCTGGCGAGATGGTCAGAACATGGCAACTTGAATTGCTGGAATGAATTGACTGGTTCTTTATATGCACGAACCCCGAGGTATACCGTTGTCGCTCAGTACCAGTTCGATCCTATTCAAGTTGAAGGTCGGACTCATCAAGCCGCGGGGAAATTTGTCGAAGTGAGTGTCAATTGTTTGACGGTTAGTAAGACCGACGTTCACTTTGGTATCAATAGTAGAGTCAGAATGGCGGGCGAGTCACTTTTCGTTCGTATACGAGCCTCTTGTGTCCATGTCACGTACAAAGAACAAAAGTTACGTTTTCCATAAAGTTGTGGTATATATCGGGTACATGGCCGGCGTTGTCATGGTCCTCGATTACTCGAATTCGCAAAGAATTGAATTGAAGCAAGGAATACTTGAATTTCTGCAGCGAGATGAGTCGGCGATGTCGCAGGCAAAAGGGTCACGGCGAAATTGGGTCACGGCGAAATTGGATCCTGTGTGCTTGAGAACGAAAGACTTGATTAATCCTGTCCCTGGGAACATACGCTACATGTAAAGCTCACTCGGCCACGGGGCTGTGTCGATAACATAAGAAAGTCTTGACATATTCGGAACAAAGGCAGGTCTGATAAAGGTGTGTTCGTGGCAATCGTACGTCCTTGTCTTCGTCCATATCGCTTCCCCCATCGCTATATTGCTCATAAATCATGTCTACCACCCAGAATGTCAAGCCCTCAAAGGGACGACGGTTCATTAAGAAAGTTCGCTCAGCGTTTCATAAAGGTCGTGCTTCGCCTGTCAGTG